GTAAATATAACTAAATCACAAAACTCTCTTTGTGTATTGTTTAACTGCCCTTGTATTTGATAGTAGAAGCTATAGTGGTGATATGAACCTTTCACACCAGGCTCCTTCTTCTTATTTCTCGCCTCATACTCCTTTGCGGTTTAAGTATGCTTCAAGAATCTTTTGGAACTGGGACACTTTACGTCAATGAGGCCATTTGTTCCAAGTAGTCAATCAGGGAATGGTGCTAGAAATCCGTCCCTCATATTAACGAGTAAGCCGCACTTCCGCACATTGCAGTTTTTCTGTTCAACGTACAGTTGTAAAGCAGCATCCTCATCGATTCTACCTTATACTGTTGCGGGTGACGAAAGTCTTTGGGTACACGATACTTGAAACAAGTCTGGCACTACGTTGTGGTTCGATACCCACTAATGTCGTCGTCCTTATGGAGCCTCATCAATTAATAATTACCTCGTCACCTCATATTGCTCTTCGTCAACAGTAATTACAAAAGGCTACCGCCATATTACAATCCAAGAATTGAAAAATTTAGTCGTTCAGTCGTTCAACAAGTTTATTATTATTGTTATTACGTTACATTACCTCGAGACGATCGACGTCCATCGTCGATCTTCAAATACTTATACCTGTATATAAATTAGACGCATAAGAAGGGGGGGGGGGGGGGATGTCGGTAGCCGAGTGCATGGTCTAGCGCACACCAGCTCGGAGCACATGGAGCGAAAGCTCGCGCTGCAGAACCCACCCCGCCCCGGCCCGTTTCGATCTGGAGGAGCATCGTACCGGCATGCGGTCGTGTATCACTACTGCGTGGTGCACGTTAAAGACCCCAGGTTTGCGGCTGTACCGCACTGGCTAAATTGTTCATCTACAGCTGAGACACCAGACGCCCACTAAGGCAGACTAACTTCCGGCTGTATAAACATACACACAACAATTTGCAATTAGACGCATAATAACAAAGAACACAGCGTGCCGCATCTTTTCTTTTGGTGCTTTTCTTTTTTTTTAAACCAGCGCAAGCTCGTGCGTTCTTTCTTTTGAGACGGTTAGAACGGTCGCACATAAAACACGCGTTTCTCCTACCCGCCCGCTTCCTCCTCTCATTATGTGCACTTTGTTATAACTAAATAAGCTATAATGATGGTGTATTATTCATATTTACTTTCAGTTTCAGTCAGGGAAAAGGAGTTTCGCGGGAACTAGCGCCAATAAATGAGCTGCGCTTAGAGTATCGGCACTCTCTTCCCCGACAGTGTTGTGAACGCCGCCATTTTGTTGCTTGTGCAGAGCAGGCGCAACTGCCGATCGTCATGATTCAAAAGTGCGACGTCCTCAGCATTAGATTCGGTGTTAGGAAGCTCATGTAATGTTGCTTTGCTTTGTCGAAAACTGTTTAAAGTGGAGGACGGAAAAGCGTTTCTTGTGATTTCAGATATAGCTTCAAATAACTGGCAACCATGATTTTAAGCCACAATAAGGCCAAGTGTCGCTACTCTGAGGCGTAGCTTATTTAATGACACTATTCATGCTCTTGTTCAAAAGGCTTGTAATACCTGGAGGGGCCATGACGTAAGCCCCGCGGATTCCACAAGCCACTACCTTTTGACACCTGCCTCTTCTTCATTGTTCCCACTTGTGCCAGTAAATTAGCTTGCGGTTCCGAGTAACGACACTTGGCTTAAAATTGTGGCTTAAAATCATGGTTGCCAGTTATATGAAGCTTTATCTAAAATCACAGGAAACGCTTTTCCGTCCCTCACAAATGTTTAAACAACCCGCGACAGAGCATTTCAATATTGCATCAGCTTCCTAGCATCGCATCTAATGCTGAGGAAGTCGTACTTTTGGATCATGATGATCGGCAGTTGCGTTTGCTCTGAGCGAGACCTAAAATGGCGGCGCCCAAACCAATTTTGGGGAACTGAGTGCCGATACTTTAAAGCTCATGTAGTGACTCTAGGCATAAAGTGAACTCGGGTGTAGTGCCACTAAATAAGCTACGCTTCAGAGTAACGACACTTCGCCATATTGTGTCTTAAAATCATGGTTGCCAGTTATCTGAAGCTTTATCTGAAATCACAGGAAACGCTTCTCCGCCCTCTACAAATGTTTAAACAGTTCGCGAAAGAGCAAAGCAATCTTAGATGACCTTCCTAACACCAACTCTAATGCTGAGGAAGCCTCCCTTATGAATCAGGACGATCGGCAGTTGTGTCTGCTCTGCATACGAGCCAAAATGGCGGCGCCCACAACAATGGCGGGGAACGGAGTGCCGATACTCTAAGCGCAGCTCATTTAGTGGCTCTACTCGGGTGTATTATTTTCCTCTTCGTCTTTGTTGTTTATTGATTTCAATCATATCGAATAATGAACGCATTATATCACGCTACGCTTGTGTAATTATTTGTCTTAGATTTATTAGCCTGACCTAATACTTAAACCATTCATTTATCGATAGTAAATCGTCCAATATATTTTTTAAATGTGAAGGTAAAAAACCACGGAGATTGATGATGATACAGATGCCAACGCCGCCCTCGGAAATTTTTTGAACACTAGAAATCAGCAGTTTGTCTGCCATCCGCCAGGTAGCGCAACAAAACACCCAAACAGTTTTTAATTGTTTTTAAAATTAGCTGAGCTCTACACCTATTAAGAAACCAAAGCAAGATCATTGTGAAAATTTAATACATCGCAATGTATATCTATTCCAAACAATAAATGTTATTAAATGCCAATAAATCTGTTTGATGTCCAAAACAGATATGCGTCAAAAACAGGTAAGTTTGAAGGGCTCCTGTAGCGTTATGACTTTGAAAATGGAAAAAAGCCATCGTCCACCTCTTGGGCAATCATTGTAGCTCTAAATGTTATAAAATATTTTATCATAGTTTAATTATTTCTTCAGCGGCATTTGAACTACCATGACTCGAAGCACAAAAAAGTGCGACGTTTGATATAAAATATTTAAACAAAAAAATTTTACACAACATTAAATTTTTTTTTGCATATTACCAATTATAAGCACTACATCTGTAGCTAATTTCATTGCCATAGCGCTTGTCATTAAAAACATATTTGTGCTGAAAAATGTCAATTTTAGGGCAATATTTGGAGGGATGAAAAAAACAAAGTAGTGCAAACATCAAAAAAGTGGATCGTTAGATTCTGCTCCGACATCATCTTAACAAAACTGCTATATTGGAACCGTGCTATCTTTAATGGATCGTTCATAAAACATGAACTAGCGGAGCAAGTTAGGGTCCGCGCCATCATATTCGCAACGCTACAAATGCTCATAAACAGTAAAAACCAACACATACATAATATCAAATGAAAGAGGATTGCATTACCTTTCGAATGACATCAATCCCAAAAAACAGTATTTAAAGGGAGATGAGTAATGGCCTGCCAAAAAGTACCTAAACTGCCACATTCAGTGGGACCGTGGCCTTAAATGGTTGTGAGATGGAATAAAAAACCCAAAGCGCACAGTGCCCTAACCAGAAGAAGACCCTTCTAGAAGGTGCACATCATAAAGCCCAGAATATAAGTGACCCGCACGTACTTGCTCACTTCCAGGGAGAGCTTAGCGAGCACGATCACGTGATGGCGCCACTACATAAAGCACAATAAATGACGTGGAGAAGACGAATTTTCGATTTAATTGAATCGCAAACTTTCCAATTTTGTTTCATAACGACAAGGCACCAAGAAAATCTGTTAGCAGATACCGATTCACAAATAAATTTTATGCTGCAACGCGGTATAAAAATTTGCATTTATCCTTTAATTTAGTTCTTGAAACGCGTCAAAATAAAAGGTAAAAGAAAGCTTTTTCAACGGAGTTAGATGCCCGTAGAACAGTACTGAAAGCAGAAAAAAAAAAAAGAAATAATGCTGCGCCATCCGTGTATTTTCCGCTAAATATAACGGGGGAATATGACATCGCGTGACCTGATGCCATGTGACCTCGACGCCAATTTAGTTTCCTCGCTAAATGTAGCGGTGAGATGGACGTGAAGCGACCTATATAGTGATTTAGATTCCCCGCTAAATATAATGGGGCACTTAACGTCACGGAATTTAAACACCAATCCAGTTTTCCCCCTAATTTCAGCAGGGAATTTTGCGTCACGTAACTCGTAGGCCGACACGCGGAGCGACTCTGTTTACCAACACGGCCGGGAGGCCGCGCATGCGTAGAAGCTATGTGGGCAAAAGCGGCCGGGCTCTCCGCGTTTTCGCCACTGCGTTGTGTGGCGTGCGCTCGTTGTTGACGTTGTAGATACGCTTCGAGCTTGATATCTGCGTCGTATTTCTTGTCAACGTATGTCGTATGCTATGCCCGACTATTTCAGCTCGCTACCCGAGCCTGAACGGCACGGGTACCGAGACTAACTGTGCGTGGACGGCGTTGCCTTCAAGGATCCGTACGCCGTAAACTAGGACTGCTGGAGTTCCGACGGGAGGTTTCTGCCACCGACGTGAATGGCTCACGTCGTCGTTTATTTAGTTTTCTCACCAAGTCAGTTGACGGCCGACACGGTGCAGGCGTACAAGTCTCTCGAGGCCTACGATTACTTCGAGCAGCTTTCCGCGCTGCCGGCTGGATCGGCAGACTGTGGGTCTGAGGAAGTGCATTGGTTAATTGATTAAACACATACAGCGTCCTTCGAGTCAAGGTATGACAGTTTTCTTACCCTAATGATCACAAGGCACTACAAGTGGTAACGCTTTTCCCGTTCTGCCGCCGGTCTTCTTCCACAGCACGGGCATGACGAGCAGTGTTGTAGGCGTTACAAAAAAGGAAGTAAGGAAATACGTTACTCTACTTGCAAATAAAAGAAACCCTTTACCGACCTACGTTATCTCAAAATAAAATGAAAGCGTTACCGTTAAAAAGTAACGGACGTTCTTTCGCATTACTTTTTATTGATAAATTGACGGTAACAGTGTTGTTGTTGGTGTTTTTTCTTTTTTTTCTGTGACAGCGTTTTTGGGCACTTGGACAAAGGGCTTAGGGGCAGAGGTTTTTCCGAAGTGGGACTCTTTGCATGGGGAAAAGACAACATTTTGCAGGTGGGTGGAATGTAGTGCAATAATTAATGGCTTGGCGCCTATACTTGGTTTTAGCTTAAGTCGAGACGCAGCAGAAGCTACGAGCTAATGGAACCGATCAAGCAGCGTCAAAAGAGCGAGTCACTGGGTCTTTCTTATTTATGACCGGTTCAGTGATGGTAAAACACGTACTACAAAAACATAACGAACACCATGATGTTTTTTTTTTTTTTTTTACGCTGTCTATTGGTCCTATCAATCGTAGCGCCGCGTCTGGGTTGAAACTAAGACAAGTTATGAAAGCACGAAAAAAAATTACTGTTTTCAGGTCTTGGGAAGAATGTGTAACAAGTAACGAAACTACTAGTACGCGTTATTCAAATTAAGTAGCGTAAGTACGTCCCCCGTTACTGTCTTGAAGAAGTAACGAGTACGTTATTATACATTACAGGGAAAAGTAGCGCGTGACCGGCAACGCTGCTAGCGAGCAACCGACGAGCGCTTGGCCGGTGATTTGTGCGCGAACACCGTAGGAACAAAATCTGGGTGGTCTCAATCAGATTACGTTTTCCCCGCACATAAGCAGGCCTCGGAACGGAGATCGAAATGAAAGCCACACTTGCCTTCAAGAAAGTGCTAGCCGCACAAACGGTCGTCCGCGCGAGGCAACCATTAGTTTCGATCCACAGATATTATCCACCTTTACGCGTGTTTCAGAGTGAGCCGGAAACTTTTTGGGAATTCACTCCGCTACTTTTTCTGTACTTTTCGGTGCAATTAACGGCTACACAGCTTTGCGACATGCTGAAATTCTATGACGCCCATGTAGAACCCGCGCCCTTTTGCCCACACCACCCGGCTCCGGCGCGATCGCAGCGCCACCGCAGCTCCGTGACGTCAAGCCCGCGTGTCTGTCTATACACCAATTTAGTTTCCGTACTCAATGCAGCGAAGAAATTGATGTCAAGTGACCTGTACACCTCGCGTCCCGTGACACCGCTTACACCTGCTCTTCCCTCACTCCCCCCTCTGCCGTCTCTTCTCCGTCTTCTTTCTCTCTTCCTCCCTCTTGCCATCCGTTCCTCCCCACCTACCTCTCCTCCCTCCCTCCTTCCTCTGCCTCCTCCCTTCCTCTTCTTTCTTCCTTTCTCTTATTCCTCTCTCCTACCTTTTCCCTTCCAGCCTACTTCAATTCCTCCCTCTCCCCACCTACCTCCCGACCATCCCTCCCTCCCTCCCTCCCTCCCCTGCCCCTCCTTTCCTCTTCTCTGTCCTTCTATACCCATCCCTCTTTCTCCTCTCTCCCCACCTACTTCCCTCCCTCCCTTTCTCTTCCCCCACCTACTTCGCTTCTTTCCATCTGCCTATCTCTCTTCCTTCCCACCTACTTTCCTTCTCTCCTTTTTCTCGTCAATCTATCCTCTACGCACATGCACCCCCTTCCATAGCCCCTCTTTTCCATCCGCCCTCCCTCTCCACAACCTTGTCCATCCCTCTGTATTTTCACTCCTATCTCCTTTATCCCCACGTCCCCCCGCTTTTCTTCCTCTCTCTTCCTCTTACTCTGCCCCCTTATGGTGCGTCCAATACGAGCAAGCTCCATTCCAAAAAGTCCCTCAAGTGCTATTTCCCCTCATTACATTTGACAGATTTTCTAACCCAGGCAATCTAAACAACAGGTTCTTCTAAAAAATATTGGGGTGTGTGTACGTTTATTCAGCCTAGAACTTAGTCTGCCTCAACGGGGCAACTCGTCTCCCAGCTGTAAATGAGAAATTTAGCGAGTGCAGTACAAACCGCGAGCATCAGGTCTTAGACGTGAACCACGCAGTACTGACACATGACCGCACGCCTGTATACAATGCTCATCCAGATAGAAACGGGCAGGGATGGGGATTGAATAAAAATTCAAAAGCGTAAACACCAAGGAGAAAGAGGGGACAGGAAAGAGCGCTTACGCAACTCTGTCCGTTCTCTTCCTTAGCTTTAGCAGCGATGTCATGGACGTTTGACACCATATGTATCCCTTGCTGCTGGGGCTCAGTACAAAATTTCGGTCCTTTTTCGAGGACACCGCGAATATCATCCGGAAGGGGCTCGCAGCCTAAGAGCGTAACAGACTCGCCTTTCCTCTGCGTCTTAGATGAACGTAGGTATTTTAGATGAGAGATGTGAGAGCCCCAAAGGAATTCAGTCTTTTGGTTTGCTGTAGTCAGGAAGAACCTGTATCTGGTGATGTGCCCATCATTGGGGATGCCGATGCCGGCAAGGGCGCTGAGACAGGACCGATAAAACCGGACCTGTCGCCACATCTCAGACCGCAAAATCCTGCACATCCTCTTGGCGTGTTGCATTGATGGTCTTGCATTGCCAAACAACGCACAAACGTCTTGTGGAATCACAGTGTGTCTGATGGCAAAAGAGTACAATCTTGCTTGGCAAGTATAAGGCGATGGAATTGACGTAAAAAGAAACACAATCTGCAGAAAAGACACACGGAAAAGGGCCCAGTGTAAAAGAAAGATATTGAATCAAAATTAACCGTTGGGCTAGTTGGCTACACATTGTATAAAAATTCAAAAGCGCAAACTCCAAGGAAAAGAAGAGGGGACAGGAAAGAGCGCTTACGTAACTCTGTCGGTTTTCTTCATGAGCTTTAGCAGTGATGTCATGGACGTTTGACACCATATGCATTCCTTGCTGTTGGGGCTCAGTACAAAATTTCGGTCCTTTTTTAAGGACACCGCGTATATCATCCGGAAGGGGCTCGCAGCTATAAGAGCGTAACAGATTCGCCTTTCCGCTGCGTCCTAGATGAACGTAGGTATTTTAGATGAGGGATGTAAGATCCCCTATGGAATTCAGTCTTTTGGCTCTCTGTAGTCAGGAAGAACCTGTATCTGGTGATGTGTCAATCATTGGGGATGCCGATGCCGGCAAGGGCGCTGAGACAGGACCGATAAAACCGGACCTGTCGCCACATCTCAGACCGCAAAATCCTGCACATCCTCTTGGAGTGTTGCATTGATGGACTTGCATTGCCAAACAACGCACAAACGTCTTGTGGAATCACACTGTGTCTGACGGCAAAAGGGTACAATCTTGCTTGGCAAGTAGAGAAGGCGATGGAATTGACGTAAAAAGAAACACAATCTGCAGAAAAGACACACGGAAAAGGGCCCAGTGTAGAAGAAAGATATTGAATCAAAATTAACTGTTGGGCTAGTTGGCTATACACATTGTATAAAACTTCAAAAGCGCAAACACCAAGGAAAAGAAGAGGGGACAGGAAAGAGCGCTTACGCAACTCTGTCGGTTTTCTTCCTGAGCTTTAGCAGCGATGTCATGGACGTTTGACACCATACATGTATTCCTTGCTGTTGGGGCTAAGTACAAACTTTTGGTCCTTTTTCAAGGACACCGCGTATATCATCCGGAAGGGGCTCGCAGCTTAAGAGCGTAACAGACTCGCCTTTCCGCTGCGTCGTAGATGAACGTAGGTATTTTAGATGAGGGATGTAAGAGCCCCAAAGGAATTCAGTCTTTTGACTGGCTGTAGTCAGGAAGAACCTGTATCTGGTGATGTGTCCATCATTGGGGATGCCGATGCCGGCAAGGGCGCTGAGACAGGACCGATAAAACAGGAGACCTTGCATCGACGGTACTCGTTGCTATCAGCAAGGTGACAGAACTGCATTGTACCGTCGTTGAACATCCACTGCAGCCTCAAACGGACTTCAGTTTCACACTGTCGAGTTCAGGAAAAGAAAAACTCCCACTAGTACATCACATCGTGCCGATAAGAATTGTCGTCTCTTCGCATCACCTGCCCCAGGCTGCCCCGATACAGCAATGAACGAATCTAACATAGCAGTCGTTACGATTTGTCGTCGCCACGAATGAAAGCTTATACAATCCTGTGCGCAACAAAGACGAGGACAAAAGCAGAGAAGAGGACACAACAAGGCGCAACTTTCAAATGAATTTTATTGAAAACGTGTTCCGGTATATAGTCTCAACCATCGTCACAATGACAACAAACAACAAAAGTAAAGGAAAAACACCATCACAGAGCATAACTGGGAAACAACACTGTCTCGTTCTCAGGAAACGAATGAAAGATATAAAGCAAAATATTCCTAAAAAAATCGCGATCACCAAAAAAGTTACGGTTATGGAACGATACAGTTTTCTGAAGCCAAGATTCTACTCGCGAGATTAGGAAAATTCACTGAAGATTGTCTCAAAACTCAGAAAACGAAAGAAATTGAATTTTCGCTGATTTATTACTTAAAAGCGCCGCAATCTAATGCAAACGGCAGAGGTGTCGACAATCAGCTGATCGCCGAGATCATGTACTGCCACTATTCAACGCGCTGATCAGATTGAAGGATACGCGCTGCAAGTGTAAATAAACAAGGTGGTAAATAACAATACGTTACAGCTATGCGAAAATTAGTAAGTACAAACGAATAAGCTCGTTGACAGAAGAACCAACGGGAAGACAGACGTGAGCCCCACAGCTCCGTACGTATCCCGGTTAGGGCTAACACGCCTTGAGAGTGGAGAGCCAACTTGAAAACAGGGGTCGATAAACACTTCACGCGACAATATTTTGCATCCTTGTCATGATCGAAGGTCATTCTGTCGAGACTTTCACGTTGATGTAGCCTAAAACACTTTGCACAACCAATTTCGTCCACCGCGTCGACCGCGACAAACCAGCCGCCATGTTTTAAATCCAGGATTAAGAAACAACCAAAAGCAAAGCGCCCAATGTTGAGCGCTCAAGTTAAGCGTAGTTTAGTGCTAGGTTTAGCGATAAGCAATTTTGGTGCAACCGAACGAAACCGAAACTAAGCTTAGGTTCCCGGCTAAGCTCCGCTTTGCGCTAAGCGGCGTTGGTGCAACCGGCCCTAAGTGTTCTCTACATAAACGTCAACAATCACCCATTCAATACTGAATTTCTTGCATTATAGGTGTTTAAAGGTAAAGGTTACTGCGAATTTCTTTTTTTTTTTTTGTTCATCCTAAATACGAACAACAGAAAGGCGAAAGGCAAAGAGAGCGTGCTAGAGGACAGGCGTTTGAAAGACCAACCTTGCAATTCTCATTCTGTCAAGGTCGACACTTTTATCTTTGGAATTACACCGCGACAAGTAGGTTAGTTGTGTTGCTTGCAAGCGCACTTAGTTCAGGCAAGTAAACTGTGTTGTGTACGTTTAGACGGGGAAGTTAGCCGTAACGGGCGCCTGGCGTCTCAGCTGTAGATGAGAAATTTAGCCGGTGGAGTGCCATTGCTGTCCTGGAATCTTTAACATTCTTCAGCAGGTGACACACGACCGCACGCATTTACGACGCTTTTCCAGACCTAAATGGGCAGGAGTGAGTAATGAGCCATGTAGCGCGAGCTTTCGCTCCACGTGCTGCTGTGCGCAATACTTAGTTTCAGCCATAGCCTCCTCTTTTTCCGAGAAAGCCTGGCAGATCGTCACGAGAAGCGGCCGCCTAAATTGAAAAGGTAGAGCGTCAGACACCGGATGAGAGGAAAGCCACGTGATGGGCGCCCCTCAGCGGCGAGATGCCCAAATACACTTCTCCTGAGCGATGGAATGTCAGATCGTACTCCTCGCGTTCCTCGCGCTAGCACTTCGTTTTTCGTCCGCTTTGAAAATCATGCTTCGGGTCCACGCCGCTGCAAAAGATGTGCGCTGACGTTCAGGTTCCTCGAGAAAGGCTCTCTGCTTCCAGGTCCTCGCGCTCCAAATCTGCGACCGGGCACTCTATGGCTCCGTGGTCGAACTGCCAGGCTTTGTGGGTGTAGAGGAGGCTATCTTTCAGCCTAACTCCAGACGCAGCCGATGGTATACAAGCGCAAACACGTGGTCCTGAACAGTGCTTGCACTGCACGAGCGCGCGTGCTTGGCAGAGACGCTGAAAGCCCGGAGTTCGCGCTTGTAGCAATGGCTGCGTCTGTACTTAACTGAAACGAAGTATAAGATACTCGCCCACCGACCAGAAATCAGCGTGTCAAGCAAGAAACATTCCATTCAAATGTTGGTGCACCGTCCCTTTAACCATTTTCCTTCTTTTTGTTTATTATGGAACACTGACGATGCTGTCTGAATTCTCTGGGACTACGTGCAGTGTTTCAAGTACCATGAGGGCGTTGGGCGTCGAGTTCGCACCTCTCAACATACCGCTCAGGCGGCGGATGCAGACGCTGGCGGCGTTGTTCTGCGCGTTCCTCTTCTTCCTCAACGTCGTCTGGGGCGCGGCACTCTTCGCGTACCTGCTCTTCTTCACGTCCTTCTACTACGTCCCGCTGCTGTACACCATCTGGTTGGTCTACGACTTCAAGAGGCCCAAGCGCGGCGGACGCCCCAACGGCTGGGTGCGTCGGTGGCTCGTCTGGAAGTACGCCGGAGAGTACTACCCGGTGAGCCTGGTGAAGACGGGCGAGCTGGACCCCAACCGCAACTACATCTTCGGCTACCATCCGCACGGCATCTCTTGCGTGGGTGCCTTCCTCAACTTCGGCACGGACGCTACGGGCTTCAGCGAGCTTTACCCCGGCATCACGACGGTGCTGCTCACGCTCAACGTAAACGTCCACTGTCCTTTCTCGAGGGAACTCTGCCTGCTTTGCGGTGAGTACCTGGTAAACGGCAGCGTTTCACTGGAGTGTCGACAACCCTACAGCGGAGGCATCAAGCACTAACACACCCTAGCTAGAAAGGCCAAACTGCTGTATTTTCTAGCGTCATATAAAGCCACAGTCAAACTGTTCATACATCGTAAAACGATAAGGCATTCCCTGCAAATATGACATAATTATCCGTGGACATGCCTCAAGGATCTTAGAAGCATGTTTGCTCTGTATGTACAAAACATGTCTACAGGCAGTTTTTGTATGACAAGTGTGACCATTATAGAAGGAAGGCCTCAGGCAGTGTCTGTAGACTGTCTTTTGTATGACATAGTAGTGTGATCCCGTTATCACAGGTCGGACTGGGCTTCCAGCCAAACGCTGATGTAGCCCTCGCGTCCTACCTTCGCTCCGTGTCGGCCTTTTTAAGGTGACGCCAAAGATTTCACGGCGTTGCTATGTGTCCGCGATTGGTCTTGCCCCTAAGTAAGGCATTCTTCCTGTTTAAAGGGTAACTGCAAAGAAATATTTGTTTGAACAGCCTAGCTGGGACACGCATGTGACAAAACAATTTTCCCGCGACAAATTCACTTTTTTAAAGCAGTATTTATTGCGCGAGACTGATTTTAAGTTGCGGCTATCTCGTCCGTAGTAAATCGCGCGCCAAAAAGTTGGTATCATACGTCACGGAGCGGCTGTTATAGGTCACGAAGTGACGTGCGCTAGCAACTCTTCTCATTAGCTAAGAGATTGATTGACAGGTTAGATATTGGTTGTCAAACCTTTGTGACATGTTGTAATTCCCTTTTGACCCGCATGTTTTTACGTTTAAAGAATAACCCACGTCATGAGGGTTATTGCTCTTTACAAAAGGTTTACAGAACGGGTACTTTCATTTGGATTCATACTATAACAAACCAAAGCGTCGCCATTTTTCGAGTAGCGTTTAAGTGTACGACCGTCATTTGTGAGCGAAGTACCAGGCCTTGCGTCCGTAAGCAAGGTAGCGGCCACTATTCTCTGTTTCGCTTTCAGTCCGACCGCTGTGACGTCACAATCTGAGAGGGAGCTAATCAGGCGTCGCTATAAGTGCGTCATCACGGCGCTTTTTGTGTTTGTGCGTTTTCCTCAATCGGAGTGGAGTCTCGATTGCGAAAACGAACTTCACAGGATTAAACCAGCTCTTGGTATGCGGGAGAGTGCATCGCCCAGAACCCGCCGCCATGAAGTTCTTTTGTGTCGTCTTAGATTTGGAGACTCCTACCTCACCCACGAGCATCTGCTCAGGGGGGAAGCCCCAGTCCCGTGCGATGACTTAACAATTTTACACATTTTGTGGCTGTGCTCAGGGCTTGAGCAAGAAGGACGTACACATTTCCCCGAGTTTTTTTCACACTAACCGCGGCTAACTTTAGCCGCAGTACCTAGGAGAGGGATTTTGAAATCACGTGACTGGGCTCGGTAGGGATGTGGGGAAACATGGCGGCACCCCAGCGAGTGAGCGCTGCTCGCTTTGGAAATAATATGTCGTTGTAGCTGCAATATCGAGCGCGTTAGTCAGCAACGAATGATGCAGGAAGCTTTCGCTTTGCCTTACCTCAATTAAACCGCGAAGCATGGGCAATGACATCGGCGCATTTTTTCGATAGTGTTTCGATTCTGGGCATTCCTAAGCCTAAATGAACGCGATAATTGTCGGCATGGCAACGTCTTTGGAAAGCGGATTGCCTTGACTCAATCAGCCGGGTATTGAGAGCACACAAAAGCAGACAGCGTCCAAACAGACTTTCTTCTAAATTATCCAAGCATCGCGAGGAGAACGCTGGAAGTGTAATTCTACGGTCCACGCGCGCTGGCCTTCCTCTTATAAAAGATTCGAAGTAAAAAATCATAATAAGGCTTTAACGAACGCGCGTGCAAGGCAAAATTTGTTTTATACTTTTTGCTTTAGAACGGTTACTACTGCAGACGCCAGCACGTGCGACGCGTGCAACTACAGTCGTAGCATGCACCTCGGTACTTGGAGAATTTAGATAAAAGGTCTGTTGGGACGCTGTCTGCTTTTGTGTGCTATCAGCAATCCGCTTTCCAAAGACGTTGCCATGCCGACAATTATCGCGTTCATTTAGGCTTAGGAAGGCCCAGAATCGATAGACTATCTAAAAAATGCGGCGATGTCATTGCCCATGCTTTGCGGTTTAAGTGAGGTAAAGCGAAGCGAAAGCCTCCTGCACCATTCGTTGCTGACTAACGCTCCCGATATTGCAGCTACAACGACATATTAGTTCCAAAGCGAGCGGCGCTCACTCGCTGGGACGCCGCCCATGTTTCCCCGCATTCCTACCGAGCCAGTCACGTGATCTCAAAATCCCTCTCCTAGGTACTGCGGCTAACTTTAGCCGCGGTTAGCGCTTCGAGCAAACGGGCCCAGGTTCCTTTTCACCCAGCGCTGCTAATTGGGGATACTCCTATAGTACCGGTTGATCGTGTCATAAATTACTTAAAAAAAACAGGCTTCCTACTGGAGTTGTAATTTTAATTCTATGACTTTTAACCTTGTTACATAAACCTTTTTTTAGATAATTTCTATCAATAAGTCCTGATCATGTTTCAACTAAACAAGCTTGGCGCAGTATGGCCATAGTAGCTTTGCGCCATAAAGCCCGTAATCACTAACAATCTAACGTTTATTGGCCAGTGACAGAGTGCTCTGAATCGGTAAACAACCGACCATCTGATAGTTTTCACCATTGCTGCAGCTGTGAATCTCGCGGTGATATGAAAACATCTGCGGAGCGTTGTAATGCTGCGAAAACACTTCGCGTAACGGTGTTGTCATGTCTCTATAGCTGTAACCTTGTGAAGGGTATCGTTTCGCTTTACATGCAATGGTATTTAAGTTCAGGTGAAATAGTCAAGGCGATGTACTCATAAATGCTCATAAAGGCACGTTTAAGATAAATAACGGGGTTGAAATGCAGACGTGCTTGTGGAAGTCTACGATTATGGCGTGCAATTAACCTGGGTTTGGGTTACAACTAAAACAACGTTACAAAATTTTGAAGGAGACAAAAAATGGGACTAAGACAACGTCTCAATAAACAATTACCAGCTCACCGCCACTCTAATTTTTTTACTTTTAATTAGGCTCTAAGAAAGTTCAGTTAATCCCCTCCTCCTGTGAGATCTTTTCTTTTTTATATTTTCACATTTGGTTTTACTTTCTCGAAGCTTTTTTTGCTTTGTTGTTGCTTTAAAATTTTTTTTTAAAGCCTGGTGTTCTGTCTTAGGTTTAGTATGGAGAGCACCGAAGAGCTTAAATTGTGCCCCTGGATACCCCGACTCAATGTTTAGGTTTCTGCAAGTCAACTGATATGATACATTTTGACGACGGGTACAATCCTGTGGGACAGATCATGCGAAAGTTAATTTGGGACTATAACATTATTGGTACCTTTAATTAGGTTACACTCATTGTCCCGACGTCTGTTGTGACTGATAACGCTATCTGAAAAAAAAATTGTTTTATTTAAAGATCGCACTTTTATGAAAATGTTTTATTAAAAATAATATATCCTGCATATAAGGTAATTGTGACCATACCCGCAAAAGTACTCGCAGAAAAAAAAAATATTTTTTTTTTTTCAGTTGAGAGTTGGAGAGAGTGACTGATCTGGGGAACGCAATAAAAATAAATATTTAAAATAGAAAGGAAGGGAAAGACGCTACTGTAAAGCCCTCACTGTTCGCGAGCACTTAATTTTTGCAAACTTCCCGAATCGAAATTTCGCGAAATTTCGAAGCTCGCAAAAATGTCAGTCTTGAGAGTTTCGATGCAGGCCCCTGGAATTCGCGAAATTTAGTGACCGCGACTATGACCTATGTGACCGATTGACGAAAGAAATAGAGGCCGAGAAAGTGAATTGTTTAACAGTACTTGTGAAAACAACAGCTACCGTACTTTTCACCCATGCCGTAAACGTCACTGATGACAAGGCTGAGAAAGGTGGTGGAAGCAGCCCACATAACTGAAACAGAAGACGTAAAAAAGTACATTTGTGGCTAGAAGCACATTCAGCCAGTTTAGGTGGTACATGGGTTCTTTACGTGCGCATTTTCCCAGCACCCATAATTTGTTTTCAGACACGCTTTATGGCCGCGTGAAAGGTTGAACAATACACGCACAGGCACACGCGCACGCACACTACACTACACTGCACTCACTCACTCACTCACTCACTCACTCACTCACTCACTCACTCACTCACTCACTCTTCTCACTCACTCACTCTTCTCACTCACTCACTCTTCTCACTCACTCAGTCTTCTCAGTCACTCAGTCTTCTCACTCTTCTCACTCTTCTCAGTCCTCTCACTCACTCACTCGCTCACTCGCTCGCTCACCCACTCGCTCACTTGTTCGCTCACTCGCTCACTCACTCGCTCACTCGCTCACTCACTCGCTCACTCACTCGCTCACTCGCTCACTCTTCTCGCTCACTCTCTCACTCACTCACCCTTCTCTCTCACTCAATCACTGTTCTCCCTCACTCTTCTCACCATTGTCATCAGTGACGTTAACGGCATGAGTGAAAACAACGATAGCTGTTGCATACAGTTATATATACATATAATCCTGGGGCCGTAGACTCGTCATACAAAGATTGAATTGAATTTTACGGAGACCGGCGATTAGACTCCCCCGACGATGACGCGGCGTTTTTATGGGCGAATTCCAACTGGCGAGCTGCGCGAACGTTCGGCTCGAGCTTTGTGTTTGACGAGTCTCCCCCGTAAACAAATTTTAGGTCAACCAGGAAATGCAATTAACATTGGAAATATTTCAAGGTTAACAGCTATCAGAATCACAGCCGAATCGGAATATTTTGAGCGTACAAACGCCCTTCCGTCGCATATCACACATCCGAAAAAAATCAGGGTCATTGGGCTGTGGAGGCATGCCTGATATTCCGCAGAAGACAACTGCTGCGCATGCCCAGAACACCTTCCACAGCCAAGTAGACAAAAGATGGCAGCGTGCAGAGGGTGAATACTATACTTGGTTCCAGCTTATGTCCAGACGGTGCCGACGTTACGAGCTAATGGGACGAATGAAGCAGCGCCAAAAGCGCAAGTCACTGAACCTTTTGTTGTTTATGATTGGTTCAGCGATGATAGAACGCGTACCGAAACATGACCAACACCCTGATGGTGTGCTTTTGGGGCTGTCTGATTTGTCCCATCAGCTCGTAGAGCGCCGTCTGCTTCTAGACCCAAGGTGAAGCGAAGTGTAGAATGGTCTATAGACCAATTTATAATTTATGAATAAGCGCATCTCTTCACACGAGCTGTGGTGAACGTTGCGCATATTTGGAGCCCAAAGTTATAATGGCCTCGGTGACTGACGTTAAAAACATCAGTTCGCGTGCACCCCTGAGCACTCGTCTGGAGTAATTCCAAGGTTCGCGTCGGCGTCTTAATTCCTGACGAGGCCGTTGGATTCTGCAGGTCTTATCTCGGCGGACCGGAACAGTCTGCAGTGGACCCTGACGAAGCAGGGCGGGGGCAATGCGGCAGTCATTGCCGTCGGCGGTGCCCAAGAGGCCCTGGACGCTCACAAGGGCATGTCCGTGCTGACGCTCAGGAACCGCAAGGGATTCGTCCGCTGCGCACTGCAATGCGGGTGGGTAGCACAAACCGCCAAGTCAAAGCCCATACACACATTTGCGTTTAAGCGCGATGCGCTCAGTTGCAGCAGGTGGGTGCAGAACGTTGCGGAGGTCGTTTGCGCAAATCTTGCGCGCGCAGTTGCTTTGAAACGCAGTCGCCCGAATACGCTATTGTTGCTTGCGGCGCACCAATAGTAGGCGAAACCCATGGCAACAGAGCGTCACCCGGCGATGTCACCGACATGGCCGGTTCCGGGACTATCTTGTTGGCGTCCGCGACGTCTGTCCAGCTTGTGCCATCGCAGCTTTGGAGTAGCCTGCTCTCGCAGTCCTCATCGCTCCCCAACAAGGAAAATCAAGATCCAGTCTCCAAACGGAAAAGCGGATGCGCGTCACCGAGGGGAACGCACGTGACCCTCCCTTTCTTTTCTCGGCTTCTGTGATGGGTCTGCCGCAACATTCCGTATGCGTAGCCGCGTTGAAAAGTTTAGTCCGGTTCAACTTTCTTGCGTTGAGCTGCGGCGCACTGCGCGACAACACGCGTCGCTAGCAACCGCTTCCCGCCACAACCACCGCGCTGAAACTCATTCCGAGCTAGATGTGTGTTATTATACAGCAGAGCCTTAAGGCTCTGCTGTGCAATAAACAGAATAGACCTCCGTCATAGACAAACCTCAAGTCGTTTTTATTGTACAGCTAAATTGTGGCGAGCTCTTCATTTTTGAGATATCAACAATATAGGAAGTTTTAACATAGTTGCTGTAGGTCGGTATTTTTTCTTATTAAATAGCTAGTTAGAAAGTACTGCCGAGTACAGCATTCGTTGTTTTTTGTTGAAACCGGCAACTGTGTTAGGGTTTGCGCTCTGTGCCCAGTAAGCAGCTTTACTGAGAAATTTACATACTTGCTGAGACGCACTTCTGGGACATCTCGCTACCCCATTTTGTTAATTAAGCCTGCCGCATGGATGATTCATTAGATATTTTTACAGAAACATTTTGGACATCTTTAAATTTGTGAGCATACATGTTCCTTATGATACAGTGTACATTGTTTTTTGGTGCGTGTGAATATATTAGGTTAATTTTAGAGTACCAATCATTCTTTTGCAATAGTCAGGGTAGGAGTGGAGTGCGTTCATTTAATGGGCTCCAAAGTTTCTTAGAAAACGCAAAAGTACGTTTGGGTAATTTTACGTTGACCTAGACTACTGATAACGCTTGTCCCTTCGAAACGTACTTTTAGAATGTTATGTTGATATCAAGTCATTCTGGCTGTGTCCCTACTATTCTTTAATCTACATCGCTTTAAACATGTTAAAAACTGCACTCGCCCCTAGGCTGCTATTTTTTTTTATTTACTTAACAAAATTTAAGGATGCTTCAAATTTTCGTTGCGAAGCACTGAACTACACATATCAATGTCTGACAGTGTATACATCATTAAGTAAATATACGAACTCATCTCCGGGCCTGTATCGAAATAAAACCTATTTTAACTGTTTGCAAGATCCTGGCGGCTTGTTATTGGTTGTAAGCATACCTTCGTACATTTATTGCTTAAGGTCGAAGTAGCCTTCATACGACAGAAGCAACCGAAAATTTCTGTAAATAGCGCGGAAGTAAGATAGTCTTGGAAGATGGGTGGCCCACTGCGCTGGTGCACCGCAGCTCGAAGCACGTTGAGCCAATGCTCGCACTGCAGAACCCAGCTGGATCCCGGGTTTAATCCTCACCCCCGCTCGTTTCGATAGGGATGAGCTTCGCATACACCATTCCAATACTTAACAAGTCCTAAGCCCAGCGTGAAATCTCCTCACCCCCAGCGCGTGCTTATCCGTCGCTTCAGTAAACTAGCAGATCACCCGCCATACGCACGAACACTCAAAATGGAATTGGCCAGGAGACCCCCCCCCCCCCCCCCCCTTTTTTTTGAAAGGTTCATACAGGCGTGCTGTCGTGTAGTACGACTGCGCGTTGCACGTTAAAACGAAACCCAAGAAAGAAGTGGTACTGACCTGAAAAAAAATTTCTCATCTACACCGAGGAGCCGGCATGCAAGACGTGCGTCTCAGCTGAGACTGGGTGAAAGAAAGCACTGCAAAGACTGGGGCGCGCGAGCGTCTTGAGGCGGGTTTGAGCATAGCCTCCTCTATAGGGAGTATTCACCGGACGCCATATTTGTGGGTGCTGTTTAGAGCGGATGCTCAGAACGAGCTTACATCAATAGGCTGCAAAGACCGGCACTCTCGATGGTGCGGAATGCACGTTGCAAAAGAACTGTGGAAGCTGGCCATCTGCACGCGCTCAGAATTCGCGCACACAGATGTGGCCGCCAGTGAATACTCCCTATACTCACAAAGCCTGGCAGTTTGACGACGGAGCCCTAGAGTGCCCGGACGGAGATTTGGAGCGCGAGGATCTGGTAGCACAGAGCATCAAAGAGCCAGTTCTCGGGGAACCTGGACGTCAGCGCACAGCTTTTGCAGCGGTGAGGACCAGAAAAACACTTCTTCGCTCGGGAGAAGTGTTTCGGCGTCTCGCCGCAGCGGGGCGCCAGTCACGTGGCTCTCCTTTCGCCCGTTGTCTGCCGCTCCCCCTTTCTCATTTCGGTGGCCGCTTCTCGTGGAGATCTGCCATGCTTTGTCAGTATATGTGTAGGAGGCTATGGTTTGAGTCCTGCTCAGCTCGTGCCCTGGTTTTAGCAGTGCTTTCTTTTATCCAGTCTCAGCTGAACGCTGTTTCTAGCAACCCGGCCCAGGGGCCCATTGGGGCTGGTTAACTTCCCGCCGCCTATCCACGCAACACATTTATTATTAGGTATCTTTATTTACTTCTATAAATGAATCAGAACTATTATTTATTTAGGCTACGTGTAGTTTGCTTTCACTGTCAGCTTTGATCACTTCGCTGGCGTCTATCTACCTTTCTTCGCCACTTCTTCGTGACACTTCGAAGCACGTTCCGGCACTGACAAATGCCGCGCATTGTCCGTCTCCAGGGCCGACCTAGTGCCAGTTTTCTCCTTCGGTGAGAACGACATCTACTACCAGGCGAAGAATCCACCGGGCTCGAGGCTACGCCGGTTCCAGGAAGAGATGAAGGCCTTGACGGGATTCTCACCCGTCATCTTTCACGGAAGAGGCATATTTCAGTACAACTTCGGCTACGTACCTTTCCGGGAGAGAATCGTCACCGTGGGTGAGTCAGTCGACCGTGATATCAAATACCACCAGCGAGAATACATCCTACTCCGCTCATTTGGGTTAAATAGCTCGCCCAATAGTGTGCTAAACCGCGGCGTGTGTGTACAGTTGGCGTACCTGAGAAAGGATGCGCGCTGTTTGCGTTATCCCGCAGTTGCGCCGCGCGCCGAGAGAGAGAGAGCCGTTGGCGCACCTAGATATACCCGCTCGAGTGTCCGTGACGATAGATGACGGCAGTCACACCCCTTCTCCCGATATCAAGGTCGTGCACAAAAGGCATAGCGCTTTGGGCATGATCTTCATCGGTGGTCTTTACCGCCCGCAGCCGCGTTGACAATCTCGTTGCCCTTCCCGCCGTTGCTCTTCGTAGGCGCGTTGCTCTTCGGGAGTCCGGACTATACGCGGCCTCCCCATTACAACGAGATAAGTGAAATAGACCTATTGCTAAATTATCCACGCATTAAGGAGAATGCAGGGATTGGTGTACCACACGCCGCACGTGCCGGCGTCGGCAGCAGTAACTGTTCTGAAGCAAAAGCCTAAAACTAATGGCAGCTTGCACGCGCGTTCGTCAACACTTTATTTCGGTTATTTACTTCGAACCTTTTATGGGGAAGGCGTGCGCGTGTGGCGCGTGCGGCGGTGCCAGCGTAGGATATTTGGGCACGCATATGAAAAATCCACGGAACCCTAGCTATAAACAGCTTCGCTGCAAAAACTAAAGCACGCAGCTGATCTCGCCAGACTGCCGTCTGTTTACACACGAAAAAGTCTGTCTGCTATAGGCTCACCATCCCCATGGCAACAAAGTGTCTACTGAACCGACGTTCGCGCGAATGCAGAGTCTGGAGCCGGCAACAAAAGTCACCATTTTCTGAATTCCGCCTGTTAAATTTTGTGCTTAAAATGTGGATAGGATTTTTCTTTTTACGGCAACATGGGGCTAAACTTCCGATATGCCCTAAGATCTACTTTACCTCAAACCGCGAGGCGAACGCTGGTCTCGCGATTGCATCACCACCCCTCGGACATCTTCCACAGGACACAGACTATGATACCTGGAAGATGTCTCCCCTTTGGCGTGTTTACCGCATCTTCTTATTTGGGTACCGCCTGTACTGTTAAAGAAACTCTTCGACCTAACTTGCATCGGGAAGAGGACGAAGAGGTTGAAGACAGTCCTTAAGCGCGAGCGTTTTGGAATTTTTTTAAAGCTTGATGATGATGATGACAACATTTAATTTGCCCATAGATGGGGTCAGGGAAGGGGGAGTGCTGAGAGAGCCTCCCCCTCTCCCCCCTCAGTCGGCGGCCAGGAGTTCTTGTTCCTTGGCGGCGGCCTCGGCCATCTGGACCAGACGGACCTGTTCACCCGGGTCCGAGCTGAGCAGCACGGTCTCCCACTGCTCGGAGGTTCTAATGTTTAGCATTAAAGTTTGAGTTCTATTTCTGTTGTTTCTATGTTTTTTAAAGGGGCAGGCCCAGACCATATGTTGCAGGTCGGCCCTGTCCCCGCAATGCTTACATGCGCTGGAGTAAAGCCCCGGATAGCAGTGACTGTACGCCACGGGGTTTGGAAATGTATTAGTTTGAAGAAGGCGCCACGCCACTGCCTGCCATTTGGACAGAGTCCTGTCTGCTGCGGGGTATTTAGCCCTTCCCAGCCTGTAGTGGTTCATCACGTCCCGATAGGCAACCAGCCTGTCTCTGTCCGACCGGCGGAACGAGTGTGCGTCAAAGATGTTGGTGACGTCGGCCCGGTCGGTTAAGCCTCGAGCCGCGTCGTGCGCCTTCTCATTCCCCGGGAGGCCAGAGTGAGCTGGCGCCCACACGATGTGAACTCCCCTAACTCGATCTCCGTGGAAACCGGTCCGTAGAATTTTGAGTGCCTCGGACGATATGCGTCCCCTCGTGTAATTTAAAATTGCCGGCTTGGAGTCGCTTACTATGAATTTGATCTGGGAGGACGAGGTCATTGCCAGTGCAATGGCTGCTTCCTCCCCAACCTCGGATGAAGTCGTGAAGACCGTGCCAGAATTAATTAACTTGCCCTCTCGATCAACTACCGATGTGGCCATGGCGTCGCGACTACTGTAATCTGCGGCATCCACGTAAACCACGTCCTCGAGGTGTGCGAACCTTTTATCTAGTGCTTGTGCTCTGGCCTGCCTGCGTTCCGTATTGTGTTCGGGGTGCATGTTTCTTGGTAATGGTGGGATATGTATATGCACCCTGATATCGGGTGGAATGTCGTGTTTTTCCCCGAGTCTTCCTTCGTAGTTGATATGTAGCGTCTGGAGGATGTGTCTGCCAGTCGGACTCTTGGTGAGCCTTTCCATCTGCGCTATCCTCTGTGCTTCTACAAGCTCGTCTAGCGTGTTGTGCAATCCTAGTGCTTCAAAGCGCTCGTTGGAGGTCGTGATTGGTATGCCAACTGCCTGCTTGTAAGCCCTTTTTATTAAAGCGTTGATTTTGTTGCGCTCATCTGCCTTGAGGTCAAGGAAGGGAGCGACATAGGTTACTCGACTCAGGACGAATGCCTGGACCAGCCTGATTAAGTTGCCCTCCTTCATTCCGTGATGCCTATTGGCTATCCGCGAAATGAGGCGGGTGGTTTGACACACACTTTTTTCGAGTGTTCGGATTGTCTCGATGTTGTGGCCGTTCTCCTGAATTTTCAAGCCTAAGACCCTAATGCTGTGTACTACCGGGATGGGCAGCCCCCCGCAAGCGTATAGATGAATTCGTGGTTTTTCGGTGGTTGCTTCCTTTTTCTGCCCTCTCCGGGTTGGCCGATAAAGGAGCAGCTCCGATTTTTGTGGGGAGCAGCTTAAGCCTTTCGGTTCCACGTACCCTTCCACCGCGTTTATTGCCTGCTGTAGTGTGTCCTGCACGTGCCCGTCGCTGCCGCCAGCCACCCAGAGTGTGACGTCGTCAGCATACAGGCTGTGATTTAGGCCATGTATTTTCTCTAAGAGGCTGGGCAGGCCGATCATAGCGACGTTGAAGAGGAAAGGCGAGAGGACAGAGCCTTGCGGCGTGCCTCTGCTCCCCAACTCCAGCTCGCCAGACTCAACCCCCCCTACTGTCAGGGTGACCGTCCTGTCAGATAAAAAATCCCTGATGTAGTCGTAGGTCCTTTGACCTACCTCCAACTGTTCTAAGTTCTCTAGAATTGCTGCGTGTTTTACATTATCAAACGCCTTTGTGAGGTCGAGCCCCACAATGGCCCTGGTGTCTAGCGGGGAACATTCCTCCCCATCTATAATTTGATGTTGGAGCCTCAGCATCACGTCTTGAGTCGAGAGCCTGGGCCGAAAACCTATCATGGTATGGGGAAAGAGTCCCTTCTCATCCATATACTTGTTTAGTCTGTTTAACACTGTGTGCTCCATCAGCTTCCCCACGCATGAGGTGAGCGAGATGGGCCGCAGGGTCTCCAGATTTAGCTTTTTGCCCGGTTTCGGTATCATGATAACCTTAGCGGTCTTCCATTGTGTGGGGATTTTACCGTCCTTCCAGCACTTGTTCATGTACTTGGTGAGAGCCTCGATGGAGTCGTCATCTAGATTCCTCAGCATTGTGTTTGTTACCCCGTCCGGACCCGGAACGGATTTGGTGCGGAGACCTAGTATGGCTCCCCGCACCTCCGCCGTCGTAAACGGTTGGTCAAGAGTCTCATTCGAGGCTCCAGCGTATGTTCTAAGTTGTTCTTTTGGATTGGTCCCGATGTATCTGTTGCGGACTTCCTTGATTAGGTCATCGTTCGTGCCCTGGTAGGTGTGCAGAATTTTACTTAAATTGTGTTTCTGCGTGGTCTTACTTTTATCTGGGTCGATTAAGTACCTAAGGATATTCCAGGTTCTTGCAAGGCCCATCTGTAGTTCCATACCGTCGCACGTGCTGTGCCAGTTTTGGAGCGACAGCTGGTTTGCGTAGTCCTCTATTGTTTTATTAAGGATCGCTAGACGTCGACGAAGTGCGCGGTTTAGTTTTTGTTTGTTTAACCTTTTCTGCAAGCCTTGCTTCGCTTCCCACATGTGCAGAAGCTTAGCGTCGGCTTGTGTTAGTTCGGCTTCCTCCGGAATGGTCTTTGTTGCTTTCTGTACGCATGTGTGAAGCTGTTCGACCCACGACTCGATGTCCTCAATCTCGTGCGGTTCTGTTTTGTCCTCGCATGAATAACGTTCGGCTGCTCTTAGTTCCCTGAACTCGTCCCATTCGACGATCTTAAGCTGCGTGCCCTTTTTTGGTTTGTGGGGGCCCGCTTCTAGTTTTGTGGCCACTATATAGTGGTCACTTCCTAGATTTTCCTGCGTGTTTAGCCACTCGGCTTCCTTTTTAGCGTTCTTTGTGAATGTTAGGTCCGGCGTGGTGTCCGCACATACGCTGTTTCCCAACCTAGTGGGGTACGCGGGGTCGGTGACCAGAGACAGCCTCTCCTGCTGGGCATCCAGCCAGAGATTCCGTCCTTTGATCATTTCCCGCTTGTATCCCCAGGCTGGGTGGTGTGCGTTGAAATCACCTACTATCACTAGTGTTTGACGCTTTGCAATGTCTAATGTCTTGCGAAGCAGGTTCGCGAATCTATGTTGCTTGCGTGGGTTGCTGTATACGTTTAATACAAATAGGCTTCCCATGCCCCTTTTTTGGCTTGAGATGATCTCCACGAGGACGTGGTCCACGGTAGTTATGCCGGTATCGCGCCGTATAACCGGCAGATTACGTCTAACGAGGGTCGCTACTGTTATACGTTTATCGTCCGAGGCCGGTTCCTCCTCACTGTAGTACGGTTTGTACCCCGAAAGTTTAGCCAAAGCTCCCGTTTCTTGCAGGCATATGACGTCTGGCGCCTCTCCTGCTATTTTATTGTCTATGAATTGCTGTAGGTTCCCCCTTTTGCGGCGGTACCCGCGGCAATTCCACTGCCAAATTATGTATTTGTGATTATTCGGTGCCATAATCCTTAAGCTGTGTACTTTCTAGGCTTGTTCT